GCCCCGGATAAATCAAGAAGACTTTTTCTAGCATTTTTGCTGAAGGAAGAACCACCAGATGCCAACCGCATCCCTAAACCGCAAACATACAAAGGTAAGACCCTAAGCTCGAAAAGTCGAATGAAAGCTAACTTGCTTTCTCTTGGTACAGATTGTCCAATTTTGAGGACAAAACTTTTTCAAGGGAGAGGGTATGATGAGGACATCCAAACCACATCATACGAGTATCAAACCAGACCAGCCGGATCGAGCCTCAAACCAACCATACCGGACAAAAATGAAGGATTCTTGCCCAAATGGAGTTCCGATGAAGCACATGGCCTAGGATTGATTATTTACCATAAAATCAACCCTAAGAAGACTCACGGTTCAAGAGGAATCAGAAACCAATCGGCCAGAATGAAGACTGTCCACGACGACCCATCCGTACAGTACCATGTTCAATTCCATCGACCACATGAAGACTTTCTTCGACCTATAATGAAGATTCATCAGCGAATCACACATTTTAGGAATATCTATCGAGACAGAATTGAAGAAGAACGACCAGAAATCAAGATGGTTCATGAAGACCCGTTTCAACCGTACCATGAGCAAGTGTATGGAACCACCGACCAAACCACACGTCCATTCAAGCTGGGATTCAAAATACATCCACAATATGGACATTTTAAGAGGAATGATCGAGAAACATCAGTCCATCATCGAGGTATTTTGAGAGATGGACATGAGAGCCTCCTCGGACATGTCCATTGGCGAGCTAAGCCACAGTTTGGAGAATCCACTCGTGCATCTGACCTAGGCTTCATTATTCACCACAAAACCAACCATATGGAGCATTATGATCGAGCAAAACCACCCCTGGTTCGAGTTGGATTTGCACTTACTCATTTGGCCTTACCCGAGGGCGATATGTCACCGAAAATGGAACTTTCCGTATTTGGTTCCTTGGAGTCTTATTTTTGGAGACAAGGAGAACTTATATACCATTTAGAGACTCTCCAATATGCCTCAATATGCACCAGCATCCATAGGATTAGGCGAATCCTCTTCCACTGCAACTTTCCATTTCTAGACGCATTCACACTAGAAGTGTTTAGACATCAACGGCTCTATTTCTACCAAAGCTGCTGCGTTTTAAAGACTCTAACAACATCCCAGAATGTTCCAAGACGTCACACATTCCTTCCCAAGCTTTCAAGATACAAGAGAAGACACTTTCCTTATTTTGGCCGATTTTGTCATCAAAGCTCCAACGGCTATATTCTTTATATTTTTGCGATTTGTTTTCTTGTTTTAGACTCTAGGAACGTTGTATATTGAGCCTATAAAAGCTCAGCTCGTGATTCATTGTAAAGCACCCTTGATCATTGAAATTAAAAGAAAGCGTTTTCTTCTTTATAAAGTTCGAGTAACTTTGTGTTTGTTTGTTCTTTAGATTTAAGTGTGTGATTCACTATAGTCTATTGAAGCTGCGAATTAAGTGTGTGTTGAGTGATTCATCCCTCTTGTTCGTCCATTGATTGAGCGAGTCAATCACGTCTATCCATCGATCCATCGATCGATTCTTCTTTGTTCGTGGGTCCATCGAGAGAGAGCGAAGGCCAACTCGATAAACCCTTTATGTCCGTCCGTTATCCCTTCGGAGCGTATATCAAAAACCCTTAGAAAAAAAAATAGAGAAGCACTCTCACATACCAGTTATAGTGTTTTATTGATGGGACATTTGCAAAATAAGAATTTTTTAGTACCTTTTGTAAAAATACTCTTAATTGTTGTCCATTTTGAATAATACTATTTTCTACATACAAAATGACTAAATTATAAACTCAAAACTCCAAATACTAAACCCTATCCCGTCAAAACTATACCCTATATAAGTATAAAATTGGTATCTAAACATATAAATTTTTTTAACATATTTTAATTATGTAAAAGAGGATAAAAATGAAAATGACAAAACAGTATTTTTACAAAAAGGTATCTAAGAAAGGGAATTAGTCAAAATTTCTCCTTATTGATTGGTAAGTTGCCTTTTTTCTTTTTTGTTTGACTTCTTTGAGTTAAAATGAAGAACTCTTATACATTTTTTTTGTTTTATTTTTATTTTATAGTTTTTTTACTATATCTTTTATCTATGACATTTTGATGTTTTTTTTTCTTTTTTGCTAATAGTTATTTTATAAATATTGCAAATTTCCAAATTTCCAAAAAATTACATAGTATTATTTACGCTTCCCATAAAAATGTGAAAATTATCTTCTTTTTTTTTAAAACAAAACCTAGAGTACTGGGGATATATATATATTAAGAAAAGGTCAAAAGCAACACAGCCTCGAAAAATTAGGGTTTTGGATCGGACGACTAAAGATGAAGTCACACAAGAAAAAGAACAAGAAAAGTCTCCAACAGAAAGATTTGAATAATCGTTTAGAACCCGAAACTGATATCAGCACCCAAGTTACTCCTACGTCTGCAGTTAACTTTGCTCGAGGGTATGTTATTGTTCGTCCCCTCTCTTTGCTGTTTCTGAATTGTGTAAATCATTTTATAATTGCGGTCATGAGTTATGATATATATATATATATGTGATTAGTCGTTTGGTCGTTTATGAATTATGACCATTGGAGATGATATAACTTTGTATGTAATACTAACTATACTAAGCTCGATCTTATGATTGTTTTGTCTTTAAAGATACAAAAGAGCAAAAAAAGTTGGATGGACTTCTGAAGATCTAATCTCAGAGATACTCTCAAGGCTGCCTGAGAAATCTGTTGCGAGGTTTCGTTGTGTTTCGAAGCTTTGGTTATCAATCACCAAAGATCCATATTTCATCAAGTTGTTCGAAACTCGGTCCCCACAGCAAAGTCTTTTGGTTTGCTTCTTTGAAAATGAAAAGTTGTTTGTTGCCTCGATTCCACAACTTCGGCATTCACTTCAGAATTCCAAAAGGTCTTACTCTTGTTATCAGTCTATTTATGGGTATCATATGGAATTCCCTAAAGGATATGTTAACTTCTCTACGGAATCTGTCGAGGGCTTGATCTGCTTACAAGAATCAGGAACGCCTATAGTTTGGAACCCTAGTACAAGACAGCTATTAACTTTACCCAAACCAAAATTTAGCTGGAATGACGTTAAATTTTTTTTAGGTTACGATCCGGTTCAAGGTAAACACAAAGTAATGTGCATACCTCTTTGTAGAGTTTCGAATAAATGCCGGGTGCTAACTTTGGGATCAGCTCAAGAATCATGGAGAAGTAGAACAATAAAAACATGCCATAAGCATCGTTCAAAACTTCAGTCTTCTGGTCAATGCATCAAGGGGGTTGTATATTACAAAGCCCAAGTTAAAGATACGCGTGTTTGGGTTGTAATGAGCTTTGATGTCAAATCTGAAAATTTCGATATGATACAATTGCCATCGGATACTAATCATGATAAAAGTGTTCTCATAACTTATGAAGGGAAGTTAGCTTGTGCTCGAATAAATATCATGAAGGGTGGTAGAGTTAGTGGGAAGAGTTGTACCACATTTTTCATTTTGGAGGATGCAAAGAAACACAAGTGGTCGCGTAAAGATGTTTTACCTGTTCATTTTGGAGTACCTCCTGGTTTGACAACTTTTTTAAGATTTGAAGGTTGCACTAATGCTGGTGAGTTTATTTACGAAGTATCCGGGTTTGAAATGGTGAGTTATATTTTATTATATGATCCCGTGAAACGAAGCTGTAGACGATTCGAACTTAAAGGAATCACAGAGGACACATCGATGTATGTGCTCCATGCTTTCCCGAATCACGTTGAGAATCAAATGTCTTTGTAACAATACTTGTTTTTTTTGTTCTTCCTTGGATGATCATTTTGTGCAAGTTTATTCATATACTTTGATTTCCCGTTTCATTACCAATTCTTTTTCATTTAAAAGTAACTTTTTCAGGCAAACGATTAAGCATTCATACTCTTAGGCGATACCCAACTACACCATCAATTCAAGGTCTAAGTATTTGTAAGGCATGCGAACATAAATAATTTATATCTGTTAACCCATTATTAAGTACTTTAATTTATATTCTTTAGTTAACAAACCAAATACTGTAAAAAAAAAACCAAGTAAAACTCTTTACTATAGAAACAAACGTACCTCACAGCTCTTCAAGCCCCCTAGAATCAATCACTCAAGTTTCTAACACTTAGGTTATGGTATGACAACTTGCTTTAGTATAGTAAAGTCATGTCACATGCTTCTCCCCCCAAAATTAGATTTAGCTCAAGCGGTTTCTATCATTCATGGCGCAGAGGAATAATGCGGTTCAGAAGCAAAGTTTATGTTTCTCTAGATATTATCTTCAAAGCACAAACGACTCTGAAAACTTGATGAAACTATGGATAAAATGAAAATTTTTCATTAAAACAGAAATTCAGAATATTATTCTTTTCGTTTCAGTCAGTTGACAATGTTTAATGGAAATAATTAAGCCTAACATTGACACTTACAAGTTACAACACTCTGGTTCATGGGTATTTCTACCCTTGAGCATGAATAATGGTGGTCTCTTAACCTAAGATTTTGTTAAGAAAAACTTTTAAATAAGAGTCATTTCTTAACAAAATCTTAGGTTAAAAGCCTACCATTGTATATAGAGCCATGGAGAGATGGGTTTGGTTCTTTACTCTGTTTTCTAGAACATTTTTTTTGGTTGTAGCCATGGAGAGATGGGTTTGGTTCTTCACTCTATTTTTTTAGAACATTTTTTTTGGGTTGTAGTATCAAATTTTGCTTTGATTACATTGATGAGACAAATTTTGTAATTACAACACGTTGACTCATGTATGTTTGTGAAGAAGAATAGAAAAACATAGTGAAGAAAATAAAAAGTGAATTACGTTTTAGATTTTGGATATCATAAAATCAATACTAAAAAGAATATATATATATATACAGACAAGGTCAAAAGCAACGCAGCCATAACAAATTAAGGCTTTGACTACTAAAGATGGAGAAACAAAAAGAGAAGAAAATAAAAGTCTCCAAATTAACTTCGTCTTTTCCTATAGATCTAACCTCAGAGATACTCATAAGGCTGCCTGAAGAATCTATTGCGAGGCTTCGTTTCGTGTCGATGGTTTGGTTATCAATCACCACCGATCCATATTTCATCAAGATGTTCGAAAAAAGGTACCCACGGTCGTGTCTTTTGGTTTGCTACATCGAACAAAACAAGTTGTTCGTTTCCTCGGTTCCGCAACATTATCACTCACTTAGTAAATATATAAGGTTTTATTACTCTCGTCCTAAGCATGTTAATCTTTATCATTTCAAATCCCCATTAATCTATGGCTTACCCTGTCCGGAATATTTCCACCCTACGGAATCTGTCCAAGGCTTTTTCTGCTTTCAAGATTCAGCAACACCGATAGTTTGTAACCCTAGCACGAGAGAGATCTTAGCTTTACCCAAACCTAGAATGAGCTGGGAGAATCTAACCCTTTATTTAGGATACGATCCCGTTGAAGGTAAACACAAAGTAACGTTAGGATCTGGTCAAGAATCATGGAGAACAGTCAAAACTAAACTTACACATCGTTCTGACGGGTATAGTACTTGTGGGAGATGCATCAAGGGGGTTATATATTATCTAGCCTATGTTTACCATACCAGTGTTTGGGTTATAATGAGCTTTGATGTCAGGTCTGAAACATTTGGTATGATT